TCCCGAAATCACTTCCATGGAATGGACTCCCTTTGGGCGCGGTTTAGGAGTTTGAGATTGAATTTCGGGAGGACTCGCTTGCTCAATTCGTGCATGAGTTCGTTTCAAAATGTAAGCAAGAAGAATGGCAAGAATCTCTTGCAGTCGGAGGTACTTTCTGGGCAATTCAATGTGATCTTCTTTGGCCTCTGTTGTAGAAGTGCAGGCATTTGCAAGGTAAAGACGTTGACAAGTTTTTGCAACAATCTCCTTACTGGCGTTGAACAAGTCGGTGGAATCGGTGAGTTGACGAAGGCAACCGATAATTTGAAGAACTTTTTGGCAATCAAGAGTAGCAAATTCATCCAAAGTGCGAGTTGACAACTGAGCCTCCAAGAAGTCGACAATTTCATCAACCTCGTGGAGTGGTGGCTCAATGGATTCACGAAGCCAACACAATTTTGGATCTTTGGTGCCTTCAGGGTGAGAATCAATTGCCTTCAAGCAGTCACGTTGTGAATAATCAACAAACAACCCCACAGAAATCCATCTGTAAACCTCGCATGCATCCAAACACCTCATGTTTGACAAGTCAACAGATTTGGAAAGTAGTTTGGTCCAATTATGGACTTCTATTTGAAGACATTGACGTTGCCTGTCAGACAATTGAACAGGCCACATTTCCATCCAACTGATTGCAGCTCCCAAGTCAGCAAACAGGAGGCCGTCTTCTTGATGTATGGAATAGAGCAAGCAGATCTGTTCCACAGTATTCAATGAGAAGCCTTCTAAAGCCTTTTCGGCTCCTTGGATTGCTAAAACGAGGGACTCGTTGTTGGAGAGAGTGGAATCCATTCCGAGAGTCTTTTCTACGTAGGACCACAATTCATTTTGTGTGAGGGTCCTTTGAATTGCAGCAAGTCGAAGTGATAGAAGTTCCTGGGCTGCAATGGGAGTCTTGGTAGCAGTAGGAAACTGCAAACTGAAGTAACCATGCAAAAGTCTCAGAGACAACTCAATCCTTTTAGTTGAAAAAATCTCTTCAAAACGCTTGAATAATCGACAACGACACTCCTGTGAGAGTTCGTCCAGACATTTTGCTTGAAATTCTGTCAAAAAATGTCCATGTGATGGTAAAAGGGATTTTGTTTCTGGAAGTAGCTTTGAGATTGCAGCACTTGAAGTGTCAATGGACTTATGGGCCTGAAGCAGTAGTCGAGAGTGATGATAAACGTCAAGCAGATTCACAATTGTTGACTCCTCAGGACGTTGGTCAATCCCTTCAAGCAGAACTTTGGCATTGAACTGTATCACAGGCCTTAAGGTATGCTCGTCATCTGGTGAAGGTTCTTTTGAAGCCTTCAGAAGCATTGGAGAGGATTGTGGACTATGGAAAACATCTGTTCCACTACTGGGACGTGCAGAAAATGAGGAAAAAGTTTCACTTGGAGAGGATATGATTGTTTCTGAGATTGCCTGCTCTGAGAAGTATTCCATTCCAATACAGGAGGAAAGAGTGAAGATGGACTTTAGAAAGATTTCAACATCTTGTGACGAGTCTAAACTACCGATGGAGGCGAAGGCCTCCAGATTTGACATTGCAATTTCAATGGCTGTCGATTGGACTGAGTCGTCAGGCAAATCAACCACACAAGCATTATCTCGCCTGTTGGAATTCTTGAACCTACTGCAGTCATCTTTGAAGAGGTAGTTAATTATTCGACAAGTTAAAGCTAAATCCACACTTGACAGTTCTTTGTATTGAAGCTCCCTCAAAATTCGCAGTGCTGAGAGAGCGTCTGATGGACTGATGGAAAAGTATCCACACAAACTAGCCTTCAAACCCTCCTTCACCAGTTCTGGATCCGGTGACATGAATGGATCTCCACTTTCACTACCCAATGGTAGAATTATTGGCGCTATGCGAGAACGAAGACTTTCAACAACACTCCTTCCAGCTTTAGACACTGCAGATTGAAGCATATCGCGTAGCAACAAGTTGTCTGGCAGAAGGCTATGCAGAACCACTTCATCACTACCTTCAGGGGGATACAAAGATTCAATTCGATGAAGTAGCCAAATTAGACCCACTTTTGCTTCATGACGTCCATGAAGGTGTACAGAATGGAGGGCAAGTACAGCTGCATGGTAGAGGGCTACAAGATGATCTTTGCTGAGCATAACATTTGGATCCGTGTGTCCCACAATTGTTGTGATGACAAGGAGGGACTGAAGCAAAATGAAGTACGATTCCATCTGACAGAGACTGAAGTTGCCTTCAACAGGCAGTTGTTCACTACGAAGTTGACCAAGTGGAAGTCCTCCAGCTGTGTAGAAGAGTCTGGGAAAGAATGCACACTGCTGCCTGTCAGTACGCAACCACTCGGAGGTCAATTTTGATGTCTTCTCGCCCAGTTCGTCAAACAGACCATGCAATGTTAGAGGTTCATGGTTGAAAAAGAACTTCCAAACAACCTTTGAAATTAAATTATTCAAAGTGAAGTTGGCAAACGTCTTCATTTCTTCGGCCAAATCATTTGCAATGAAAAGTGTGGTCAAGAGTTTGTCAAACTCCACGGAAGACTGATCTCCTTCCAAATTTAACACAACTGGTAATAATGGAATTGTTAGACGAAGGCTTCGACGACTCCTTAAAGGTGTTGATGTCTGCAATTTCGTGTTCACTTCACCAAGAAGTGCTTGAATAAGTGAACCACCTTCCACTGACATTGAACAAGCTGGTCGACATAGAAGGATGGCAAGGAGTTTCACTTCAATGTCTACAGGCAAAAGACTTATTGCCACACAAAGGAATTGAAGGCTACTCAAGAAATTCAAGTCTTTGACGCAACCATGAGTTGAAAGTTGAGAGCTGCATCCAGAGGTGGTTGTAAGCAGAGCATTAATAAGCTCTTCCTCTAAGAAAGTTTGCAATTGTTGAAGCATGTTTGCATCCCCTTCAACATCCACTTCTTCCACTAAACTGACTCGAAACTTCTGCATTTGTGTTGTTACGGCCTCGTGGAGAGGCGACTCAGCCGATATGAAGGCTCGGCTAATGCTGAGGACAAAGAGGAGCTGCATGTGGTGATGGCGGTGGTCTGTTGGTTGCACACTTCCATCCACCAACTGCGATCGCAATGCTCGAAGGGAGACAATGGCACAGAGGAGAGCGCTGTCCGAGTTCAAGAAGGAATTAATTCGTGCTCCAAACTCGTCAACATCATTTTTGAGGGTGTCAAATGCCTCCACGGAGAGAGAGGAGGTTGATTTTATGTCATGCAGTAATTTGACAGCCACATCATATTGTGATGGAGTGCAAAATGTCTTGTCGTTCAACAAAAGGAGTGTCAAGTACATTTCCGCCTGTTCCATTGTCGTGCCTTCATCAGTGGCATTCATTTCACCTTCAACATCATCCACCGTGCCACTTTCAGCCTCCTTTACCACAGTATCAATGCTCAGGCCTTGAAGTTCGGCAAACACGGAACGATTAATAAAAATTTTGGACTGATTGCATTGCTTTATTAAAGTCTCCAGCAAGAGGATGAAGATGAGATTGGACTTGGAGGTGCTTTGTCCTATGCCAGCGGTGGTGGAGGTGAGTCGTGTCAACTCAGTTGGTTCAAAGGTGGCCATATTGTCGACTGAGTTGGAGATGACTAAGTGTTCGGTTGGAGCACTTTCATTTAACTCTTGAGTTTCAGGTCGTGTGAGGAGGAATTGTTGAACCTCCTCCATCCTTGCAGATTCGAGGAAGGCTAACAGGGAGTCATTGGAACACGACGCCAATGTTGACATCCACTGACCAACTAGGCATGGATCGCAGTTAATTTGACGATTATTGACTGAACTGACAACATACTTGGATTGCACAGCTTCCAGTACTTTATGACATTTGGTTTTGGATGAAAGAAGGTTGGCGACAGCTTCAGGTGTGGCATTTGTAGTTTTTTCGATGCCTTCAATGAGAACTTGAACCTCCTCCAAAACACCCGACTGAATATCCTCGCAGAGGTGATCCGACTCCTCCACAAATATGTTGAATGCTGCATTGGTGAAGAGGGATTTGGACGCCTTTTCGGGATAGCAATTGAAGAATTGAGTCAATGCATGTTTCCACAACAATCGTTTGCCAAGCATCAATGCCTTGAAGTTGTTCTCCATCCTTATTAACGCACGAATTTTGTAGAGACAGAGAAGTTGAAAGACAATGTCTGTATGAGTGTCTGGTGGTAGAAGATGACTTTGAACAGCCTTCAACATCACAATTGCCTCTTGAGCCAGTGTGGAAAGCTTCTGGTACTCGGTGGTGGAAAGAAGGACTGCATTGCCGGAAGTGGTGATACAGCGCTGTTTGATAGACTCCAGAAAGAACAGAGAGAGTGAATCTGTGGTGTCGAAGAGGATGGCAGAGCAGATGCCTGTTAAGTTGAAGGTATTTTCCCCATTCAAGTGCACCTCTGCATTCTTCAGTGTGGCGTTCACCTCCTCCTCCATAATGCGACTCATCTTTGAGATGCTGCTTTGAAGAACAGGATGGTAAACGCGTTGGTAGAAGTTGCGTAATCGTGCAACTGTTTTTGCCTTCACTTTAAACTTTTGATGTCGATTTGCTTCAATGGAGAGTTTTTTAATCAATTTACCATCTTCTGTATGCGGTTCAACAGAACTGAGTTTTCGTACACAATCACACAATTGAATGATTTGAAATGGAGCTAATTTGACAAGAAATAGTTGACTGGGACTGCGTTGCATTCCACCCACCAACTTTCTCAACATCAAAGTCTCCGAAAGGAGTTTAAAGTAGAATTGTGCCTCATTGGTTGGAAGGGTTCGACGTGTACTCACCAAATCGGAATGTGAGGATTTGAAGTCCTCGTGGTTGGCACTTGTTGCCAATGGGGAGTCACCTTCAGTTGGTTTGATTAAACTCTCATTCTCATAGGCATTCTCACTTTTTTTATTAAAAAATTCACTAATTGTTGTGTCAACAGTGCCAAGTGGTTCGGGAGTTTGGGCTAAAGCAAAAGGATTCCT